GTCCCTTCCAACTCCTAACATTCTGTGATACAAAACAGGTTCTATCCCCTCATCAACAGTTGAGAAAGCATCCTGTCTGCATCGGCAAAGCAAAGCATGCAAAACCTAAATCATTAGCAGTGTAACACTGTGTTGAAATGTTTTGTCTTAGTTTAGTAGAAGGAAAACAAAACAAAACAAAACACTGTCTTGCTCATACTGCAGAATTTATCCCACTGGGCAGAACCTAATCAGTCTAATAACAATTCAACCAAGAAATACAGATAGACACTTTGAGCACAAGATATTAACTGGTTCTAAATACACTGGTGTACGTTTGGTTTATGTTCTCCATGGGAAAGGCTATGTGCATCCCTACATGTCTTAACTGAGATGTTGTTCAAATGCTACTTTAAACGCTAATTCAGAGCCTTAGAGCCTCATAAATAACGCAGCAATGACTCACCTGCTGTCCAAAAGGACTTCCTCCGGGTGCTGGAGTGCCTACCATGGGGGACACATTTTGGCCTATAACACCTATATTCCAAAACATAAAATGATTAGTCTTATTCCAGAGCAGTGACAAATACCTCTTTGGTCTTCCATAGTAAAAATCTATACTTTGATATCATTGCTCACAGTTAAATAAGCAGATGTACAACATTCAAATATCCCCCAATTAAAAACAAAACAAACCAACCCAAACAAAAAACACTTTAGAAGTTTCTGAATGAATAAAAAAGCCAACATGACAACTACCAATCATTAATATGTGGTCTGTTGAATTAATTTAATTAAACAAATGCAAAGTGAATAATTTTTGGTTTTCAGGTTTTTTTTCATGTTGCTCAGTGACTCCCTGATGAAATCTTTTTGTTTTTAATATACACCTCTGGCTTGACAGGATCTTCCTGGAATCCTTTAAGAAAGGAAATGCTGATTTGCTTTAGCAGCATCGAACATTTCCTTGTGTTCAGTTCTATAAAATGCATTCACAGCAGGAGGAAATCCAAGCCACTGCACAACTTCTGTTAGATCTCACTAATACAAAACACAGCCTGCAGGTTCAGCTTCAGCAGTCTTATATATGAGACCCACGAACATGTGAGATAAATTTCAAACAAATAAAAACTGTTAGTTTTTCTTCAAACGTATCAAAAGGCTTTTCCCTACTGCACAGCGTGCAGCAGATATCACCCATGTCAGTCTTACATTCAAAAGTGTACAAATCTAAATGAAAGTCATGCAGTTCCCAGTACTTTACATACAGATGTTTTGGTCTGAAAACAGGGAAGTTATGTGAGCTGCTGCTTTTCATTCTGTTTATGCCACTTCTCATTTCCATTCAGTGGAAAAGCTGCAAACTAACTAGGGTTTAATTGCATGCAGGTTTCTGTATCAGTGATCAAAAGGTGTGCCACTGTGGATTTTGAATGCATCTTCCACTTGATGACAGTCCCCATTTTAAATGTGTCTGTGCTAACAGCAGTCACGAGTTGGGAAAAGCAGTGATAATACAAGGTGTGGAATATGGCACGGGCATTTTTTTTTTCTTGTTCAAGGTGAAGAGGTCTGGAGGAGGGCACCCTCACCTTTCCAGCACCAGAGCATGGCTTCACCCAGCCCACTTCAGCACCACTCCACGTGCGGTCCTCCCTTCTCAGACATGATTCTTTCCCTCATCCATACCCTCTCACCATACGTACAGCCCGCTTCTCCAATGGGAAAAGCTCTTCACAGAAATGCATTGTCCTGGATTCACCTCCCAGACATTTGCATGTTGCTGATGTGGTAAATGTCACTGCCTCGGTGCGTCACGGGCAGGCTCACAGACACACAGCTGTCTTTTCTACGCCCCCTACGTGGTATTATGGTGAATCCTACACAGCAGCAAAGCTGCAAGCTGCACACCTAATACTGATGGATTTTTTTTTTTAAACAAACAAAAACCCCACCAATTTACATACAGATAAAGTCTTAACAGAGCTTCTGATAAGCACAGTTGCAAGTGGAGTAGTGGGAGGCAAACAAGACCACTTTTGTCCACAGCTTGTTTCACTGCTGAACATATGAGATGCACATCTTTTAAATAGGCACATGAGCCATCAGAGATAAAAACTGAATGAATCAGCAGAAAACAGGAAGAGAGGGCAGAGGAAGATTTTTCCCCGTAGCAGGGACACGTTAATGGTATTATCACTGGAAAAAATGTTTATGATTCATTCAGCCCCACTTTTCATCAAAAGTGTGGTAAAAAAATAGCAAACGTGCAGTAGATATGCTCTCTAAAGTCAATCCAAAATTCGGCCACAATAGTATACCAGGTTCACCTTATCCCCAAATGTTTCCAGTTACTGTCCTGTCAACAAGGTTTAATCTGAATCCGTAAGGCCAGACCGACCCTAATCTTACCTGCCTCTTCTCACTGCCCTCCCTATGGGAGCACCATCCCTATAGCCCCTATGAACACTGTTTTATGATAAAACATGTCAGTGTGCCAGTGGCCAAGGGGTCTTACATGAGCAGGTTCATTTAAGTACAACCTGACTACTGATAAACATTAACATACTGCAAAAGAGTTTGATTTCATTTATAAGCCCACTTCAAATAAGTAAAGGAGGACTGGAAGGATGCCGCTGAAATGACATAAGGATATGAATAGGCTGATTTCAGCTTTTCAGACCTCTGTTAAACTGAAGCACAACTGTCAGGATTTTTGGCTGGAGCAAAACTGCTGGTGGGGCAGTGTCACACTTCTGCAGTAACCTTGCCCTGCTGGTTTACTGGACCTGCTGTTCTGTCAACATTTTGCATCTACCCCATATATTCAGCAGTGCCTTGTCTCGTTGCAGCTAAACGAACCTGCCGTGTTCAGAAACAAAAGCTATGACCAAAACAAGCTGCAGATAATTTCTGTAACAACCGGTTAAATGGCAAGTACATGAAAATGAAATAAACAGCAAATGAGGATGACGTTCTTACCGGGTGGTGGGATGCCTGGGATGCCTGGCATACCTGGCGGAAGTTGGTGGGGTGGGGGCACCCCTGGGTGAAGTGGCTGCATGCTGCCCATGCTAACAATGCCATCAACTGGGCCCTGCAAAGGTGGCAGCACCGGTGGATAGCCACTTATCATGCCTTGAAGGACACAACAAATTTCAAACATGCATCAATAACATGCAGTATGATCTACACAGTAAGACATGCACTATCCACAAACAAACAAAAAAAAGCACCTTTAGTACAGCAAGACGATACTACAATTAGTATCTTGCGAAAATGAACAAAAATTAAAATAAAAAAATAGTTATAAATATGAAACGCTATACTTCTGATGAATTAGTATTTAGTGTATTTGTATGCTTCTCACGGGACAATAAATGCTGAATATTCAGATATGTTAACACAAGGAATAAATCCAGCCACAATTAAATGTTACTAATGCAAGCAATTTGGATACAGCTTAAAGCTCTGCCGTCTGCACACAGATCACAATCACAGCACTGACTGCACAAGCTCCACACACAGCCCTGCTCTGTGGGCTACCTCAGAGACCGAACTCAACCAGAACAGAAAAGAAACCAAAACAAAACCAACTGTATATTTTTCTACAGCACATATGCAAAATTAGCACACAGAAGTCCCACAACATTTTCACACTTAAAACTAACAGCAGTGACACGGGTGGTTTTTATTAAACCATCTCCAGTATAAACTACGGAAGTAACTCAAATTTTAAACCTGACAGCACTGGACGTGCTGGGCTGCAGAGGCTTACACTCACAGCACCAGACCACAGGAAAAGGACTCACACAGAGCCCCTGCGGTCCCTTCGCAGAATTTCACCGAATGTTTTCAAGGTGACTTTATAGGAAAATCAATGTTGCAGTGAAGACAGTATTGTGCTGCTGCTCATAACCTTAGTTTTCTGCATGTGAGGGAAGACAATTTGGAGCTTATTCTTTCCTCAGCTCAGGTTTGTTGCTATCCATGAGGTGAACCTACACAGTGTAACTGCAGTGTGTTTATTGGGTCCTGGAACAAACCTTGCTTGTCCCTCCCCTGTTTTCTAGGCTTTTTAATTTAAATGGATGCACTGTCAGGTAACCAAGAAAAGGTGTTGGAAAGACAACAAAAAGATGACAGAGGACAGAAGCAGGTCTGGAGAGACGAGGTAAGTTTAGAAATGCGAAACTGCTGGCGTTTCTATAGCCTGTTCCAAGAAATCACCTACAGAGTCTTTGCCACGCTCCCAGTAACTTACAAAAGAAACTTTGAGAATGGGATTTCTGGAGTAAGACTGGCCAAAACCTCACACCAGCTCTGAACGAAACCAAAGCTGTCATGAGCTCAGGATTGAAACACATCATGCAGCTCCAAAGTACAAGCCAAACGTGTCACTTTCTCAGGAGGAGTTACAAAGCGGAGAAACCTGAAATTCCAAAAGCTCTACATGGAGCAAACAACGAGAAAAAGAACAGATCTCCCTCAAAGTTTCATTTTCCACGGGACACCTAGATTGACACTTACTAAATAGATCCTAGGTACCTATTTCAAATATCTGGAAGCTCATCTGTACCTCTTTATTAACGTAGCAAAATCCCAACTTCCAATAGAAAAAGTAAAAGAAGAAAACCAACAGAAGCATCTCTACCATAAAGGGCTTTCACTGTAGCTACTGCCAGAGACTTCCAGTGCACCCTGAGCTGCAATAGCATCTCCAATGCATTTACATACATTTCTGAAGTTTCAAAACAAATAGAACAAAATAGAACAAAACCCTTCAATGAAACAAACCTGTATTTATTAATCATGAAGGTTCATTTCTACATTTCCAAGTAAAATACTCACTAACAACTGGCTGGATTAATAAAGCTGTCGTCCAATCTCCGTGAGAAACCAGAGTTTAACTCTTGTTAAACTCATCACAAGGCTGTAAGAGCAGTCACTTTCATACCCCATGTATGAGTTACCACGTTGATTTTAAACTAGTAAACATGGGCAAACTATTTCCAGCTCCTACAGCTGTGATTTATGACATCTTTCAAATTATTTGTCCTTCATTTTTGTACTATAACAGTGTAAGATTAATTAAACTTTTGTAACGCCTAAATTTACAAGAAACTAGAGCACTGTGCACTACGAGAAATGCAACTCAAGGTATCCAGATTTCCTGGACCCATGGGCCATAAAGAAGCTCCATGAACTTCTGCAATGGAGAAGTTCTCTGAACTTGAAAAAAGCAATTAAATTATGGAGGAGGATGCGAAAGAGGTCTCAACAGAATAAGATACTTCTAAGAAAGACTTGTGGAAACTAAAAGATGAAAGTTTTTAAAATGGGCCACAATAGAGTTTAAAAAGATCCACTTGATCATCTGCTTTAAGAGAGTATTTCACAATGCCAGAGCGAAGAGACTTGAATGTCTAACCACTTGAATAAGATGATGGACTTAAAACACAGGTTTGCTTTCGAGAAGGCTGCCTCAGGAAGTTAAGTCAGCATATGTGGTTTGCAGAATTCACTTTTTGGGAGAAGTTTTAAGAAAGTGCTATTAGTAAGAATTACTGCCTACCAAAAATGGTTAAGTGACCGAGTGCCAGAAAGCGAGAACCAAACCAAGAAAACACAACCACGAGAGGATCACTTTTCCACATATTCTAGATTGAAGCAGTTTACTCACAAAAAGGATCAGCACTGAAGAACTCCTTTATTTTTTGTCCCCTTAATATATGCACAGATGTGTACACACATGCAAACACCAATCGCAAACAGTTCAGAGGAAAATTACCAAGAACAAAGTTTACAGAAAAAGCAACTCAATGTATACAAATGCGTTCTAATCGGGAGACCATGAACCAAATAAGAAATGTGCCTTCAGCCTAAACATCCATGCAGCCTATGTACTGAAAAGGGATTTAGAGGCCATGATGAAAAACCCTTCAGGCTGTCAGCTCTAAGTGTGGCCACAGCCTGTGAGATGGAAAAGAAAAAGAAATCTTACAAGAGAATAAATGGAATAATTGGGATGCCTTATGGGAAAGCTAAATTAAAAAACCACCAACCAATCAACCAACCAACAAACCAAACCACCCAAAAAACCCCCAAGAAAACCAAACCAAACCAAACCAAACCAAACCAAACCAAACTAAACAAACCAAAACAACCCAAAAGTCAAACCAAAAAAACCTCCAAATACTCATTTTTACCTACTCAGCAGTATTTTCCCCCTGACTAATGTAATCTAATTATTTTAATTAGAAATGGTGGAAGGAAAACAACCTATCAGGCCATGCCTAACTCATGTTCTCACCGATGCACGGCTGATTCTCATACAAGAACCTGCAGTGGACTACATTGTCTTCAGATCTGATCCTGAAAGTGGTTACTCCAAGCATACTCTCTACGAACACAAGTCAGATTGTGACTGGCAACAAGCACAACACCTAGCAACAGGAACACCACAGAAAAGCTCTCCAAGCTCAGCTCTATTCTGAAAATCACCTGACAAAATGGGCAACGTTGGCTTTCTGTACTTGTTCCTGCAATGGCTCTAGATCCCAGTCTGCTCTGCTTACCGCTGTCTAATCAGTGATTCTGTATGCTTGCTTCTGTAATTGCTTGGATTTAAAACCTTGTTTGAATTCTGATTGCCTTTCACCTTCCTGACAATAAAAAAATTTGCCTCCTACGTTACCTCTTCCACTGACGCTGAACGCAGCAGAAGAATACATAGCTCACTGCCCTTCTGCCGCAGCAGGGCTAAACATGAACGCTGCAACGTAGAGCAAATTAACACAACTGCACACAAACAGAACAGGACTACTGCACAAGGAGGACTCTTTTCCCCTGCGTTCTCAGTAGGCTACTCACTACTGGAGCAAGTAACGTGGGACTACCAGGCTACCGCTGCGGTTACGTGTACTCATTATGATGAAAGACTGAAGAGGTTGAGCTTTTTCTTCCGTAAGAACAAAGTGACCCAAGAGAGTGTTCAGAGTTATGAAGGGGGTTGATATAGTGGATGAGGAAAAATGGTCATAGCTCCTACATTTTACCTGCAACGGGTGTCAACTGCTGATTGAGCATCCCCATTGGTGTTGGTGGCGGCACCACCCCCATAAGAGCCCCGACAGGAGTGCCTGCCCGGGGGGAGGAATTCTGCTGCTGTGCTGCTCGCTCTCTCTCCTGCTGCTCAGCAACTTTAGCTGCCCGCTCTGTAAAAGTATTTTAGATTTTCAGTTCTGTTTTATAACCCAGAATTTCAAAATATTATCTGTTCATTAAAAAGGACTAGTCAAACACTGGCATAGTTTAGTCAAATATAAAGTAGAACAGCTGAATCTTTTTATACAGCATATGATTTGATTTCATGTGGCTGCAGCTAAGACTTTTCGAGAACCTTCATGAAAAATATTCCACAAAGTTTTATCTTTTTCTAAAAAAAATAAATTAAAATAAATAATAAAATAAAAATTTAAAAAAGTCAGAGAACAGATTTGATAATAACACCAGTGTTACCAACGTGAAGCAGCAGTCCAGCACTAGGCCTGGTCCACACTAGGAAAACATGGCAAAACGTTCCCTCTTTTGACACCACTGGCTCAGCTAAACCAGTTACAGCCAAGGCCAGCAGCTCTCACGTAGACCTGCGACCAGCTGCTGCAGGAATTTTTAAGCACCGTGTCTGCCAGATGTGCCCTGAAGTAAGATGCAATGAGCAGACAGCAGTGCCAGCCAGTGGCCCATTTATTCTTGGGCTCCCCATGTATTTTACTACTGATACAGCTGAAAAGTGGTGGCAAAGTCGGGAAGCATTTGCAAAGTTTCCCTAGTGTAGATAGGTCCTTAGTGCTTAGAACATAACAAGCAGCAGCTTGATGAACCAAAAATCTTTTTCTCTGCCTCCTCCTGTTGTTTTCCCCATTTTGATTGCCTTTGAGCTCTTCTTTTTCCTTCTGAAGATGTATAACTCACATTGTGCTGCTCACTGGAGGTCATGTGTGTCCTTTGTAGGATGAATCTGGTCATTATCTCACAATCAAGTTTCTCACTGTGACTGCAAGAACAAAAGATCTACTGCAGGGGAATCTGACCAGAGGATAATTGTACATTAAGGGAAGGGCAAAGGGTCATGGAAAGAAGGAAGAAAGAAAAAGAAACCAAGAAAACAAGCAAATAATAAAAAAAAGAGACTGAATGCCCACTTAAGGTGCTTTGGGGGCATGCAAGTTGCTGATTTGTTTACGCTCAACGCTGTATCTGACCGACACAATGAGGAACAACAAAAAATAAATGAATGCAGCACACATCTCCAGCAAATTTTAATAACAGCGAATATGCATTGTCAGAAGTTCTCTTGCAGCTGTTGAAAGATGAAAACTACCACTAAAACAGCAATCAAGGTCCTGTGTCAAACAAAGGCTAAGAAGAAGTTCATCAAGGAGATTAAGTTATGCATCCTGCACGTTACTCATTTTCTCTAGTATACGACTTCAAGTGTCTACTGTGAGTTTGTCTCCTGCAGAGCCTGTTTGTGCAGCTTCTAGCACTCCTTCAGTACACTGAAAGACCAGTTTCATTTCCAAAGGCATTCTCTCCTTTTCACTGCTGTCATTTCAGGAAGAGATGATGACGCACTGAAACTCCGAAATTTACCACAGGCAACTCGTGTGTGATTGAGCACAAAATACACAAGACATTTAAAGCAGAAGTAGAAAAATAAGATAATTTTCTTCAGAGCAGAGAAAGCATTTGGGGAAAAGATGATGCAGCTGTTCTGACTCTCACCTACTTTTGGACAGCTAAAAAAAAAAATGGTCAGATAAAAGCAGAAGTTCTGGAGACACTGACAGATGAGAAATTACTGTCATGCAGGCAGTTTTATTGGACTTTGGAGTGCTGAGCTTTGAAGAAGGACCTGACATAGGACAGTCCTTGTGCTGTACCTAGTCTCTATCCATGCCACGACTGCCAGGGAACTAAGAGATGAAACAACACTGCCAAAGGGAACTACAGCAGGCGTCTACAAGTTCAGCCTTGAGCATTCCCCTTAATACTCAACACTAGACCCACACCGTTGGGCTAGAACTTGAGATCATTCAAACAACATTTCCAACACATCTCGAGAGACAGGAAAGAGACCTTCTGCTTTGGACAGAGCTTTTCCTTAAAGCAGGCCTTTGCCTCAATCCCATGCATTACTTTATTTTATTTCCAGGAGGTTTCACACTGCAGTCAGCCATGCAGGCATCTCCAATGCAAACTCTTCTTGGCCCAACTACTGCTACAAAAACCAACTATTACCCTGCACGTATACCAAATGAAATTTTCAGTGGGTCAAAATGGATCTAAAATGCAAACTGCTTTTCACCACAACAAGGAAAGGCACCTTCTCCACTGGGATGTCAAACCAGGCCTGTTCCCTGCTCCCAGGTGCACGTCCACACTTGAGAGAGGAGTTTCTCTCCTTTCACACATGGTAAGCAAATACAGTTTGGATGCTTTGTAATCCCACCCCAACACCTCAAAACCAAATAAAAGTAAGTCCAGTTCTGGGCAGACACCAAGCCAGAGAAACTGCAGCCCAAAACATACAAGCTTTGGAAAATGTAAAGTGAGAAAGAGGATTAAAGTGGAAGCACTTAGGCAGTAATTAACACAGTGGACAGACACTGCTGCTACCAGTAGGTTACAGCTGTGCCTTCCTGCAGAAGTGCAAGGTGTCAAGCTGCTCTAAGCTAGGAAGCAATGACATGCTAGCTGTCCTACTGCTGAAGAGTGAGGCTGTAATGAGGGACATGTCCATAAAAAGACACCACGTGCACCTAGAAGGGTGGAAAAGGAAACCACAACAACAGGAAAAAAGTAAAGCCATAGTACTTCCACAAAGAAAGAGCGTTACCGTTTCCCTTCACAGCATTTGCAAAGAAAACCTGCACACAGCCAAGCGGTGCTAAATTACTCTCCAGATGGCAAAGAGGTACTACTGCAAATTTGGAAAGGACTGAGACAGCTGAGGGTGGAAAGTGATAGCATGCAAACTTATAGTTTGAAGATCGAAGCTGCCTTTGAGTTATGAGTACGCAGAAAATCCATCCAATCTCATTTTTAAAAAAGCAAAGGTATAACTGAATTAGGCAGTAACTTTCTAGGGTGTTGAAACTTCCCTATCCGAAGTTGCATTTCTTCCAATAAAATTGTAACAGTTGCTTAAAAAATGGGTTTTATATTGGAACTGTTGACACATTATTAACTAGAGTAGTAACTATGCATGTTCAAAGTATTTGGCTTGGGTAAGGGCCTGCTGTTAAGTATTAATTGTATTTTATTTTAATCAAATAAAGTTGAAGCACAATGACCAATAGTAGGAAAAAAAGAAAGAAATAAAGAAAGGAAGAGCGAGAGAAAGATCTAAAGTATCTCATGCCTATGAAATATTCCTAGGCTTACTCCAGGATATGAAATCTCTCAACAAAATCAGTTACAACAGTTGACTAATACTGAGACTGAACAATAAATCATATTTACGGTATCATAATAGATTCTGTAGCCTTGATTTTATTCTACCAAAGCTTCTTAGGACTCCAAGTACTCTTAAATAACTTTTTCCGGCTCCACTGTAAGCCTTCCTACCTGCTGCTACAGCTCTGAACACCTTCTTGTCCAAAATTCCCCTCAGTGCTCCTTCAAGGAAACTTTCATGAACCATTTTTCCCTGACTTCCAGCCCAGGGACATCATGCTCTTTTACTTCTAATTTGTCCCCATCTTCCTTGTCTTTGTGGCAAAGACATTTAACTTATTAGTTGTACACTACATAACCTAAACATGCTCTTTGCTCTCTTCAGTCACCTCTCAATATGAGCTTCTCTTTAAGGTACATCCAGAGCACAAACATAAATATCTTCTTTTATTAAACCTGTCATCTGAACAACAGCAACGAATGTGTTGAGAAAGAAAAAAAAAAGCAGAAAAGAGTTTAGCGTCTCAGTTTTTATTTACCTTCATATTCTGCTTTCTTTGTTGCTTCCAAGTTTCTCCATTCAGTTCCTACAAGCCTGCTGAGCTCTCCAAAGGAGTAGTCTGGGTGCTGAGCTTTAATCACAGCTCTCATCTCGCTGCTAAATAAGATGTACCCGCTCATGTTGATCTTCCTTTTTGATCCTTCCTTCTTGGTGCTGCCCTTAACAGACTTGGGAGTAGACTGTGAGAAAAAGCAGTTATGACCACGTGTGTACTCAGAGAAGCTTCTCAACACAAAATTCAAAGCCATAAGAACGTCTTAAAAAATATTCCTGCTTTTCTTTTGAACATATTTGCACGTGAACCATCCGACCTTACAGACCCTTAAAAAGGGAGTGCATCTACGGATGCACAAGAGCACATGCACGCACTTATGAAGAGACAATCACAGTGCTTTGGTGCTTTTCAACCCTTCCAGGCATAATGCCACCTTTACAACCAAGGCTTCAAAAAACACTCAGTAAGACAACACAGAATGCTTACTGTTAGCTAAAATAACTCCAAACTGAATGAGAGGACTAGGAAAGGCTGAGTAGCAAGTAAGTGACTATCTGGGAAGCCAGAAGAGAAAGTAACGGTGTTGTGTCACAGATTTCGGCCGTTATGCTGTTCAGAACTATTGCCAACACAAGTTGAGTAAAACATTTTATTTGCCACTGCACATCTGAGGGAAATTCTTCCCCATTTCCTGCTGGGCCTTTGCAACCCCGACCCTCCCTGGCTCCACCTCCAACTCTTCTCATCCCTAGATGCTCTCAATTTTGCCTGCCAGACTTTCCTTTCTCTCTGTTATTCACCTCCCACTACTTAAGTAGCCATTTCTCCCTGAAAGACCTAAAGCCTGGTTTTGCTGATCACTGTTTACCTGCACATCAGGTTCACATCACATGCTGTATGTTGATGGGTAAGAAAAACTCTGCTCCTTTGCTGTTCCCACCATGGATGCTCCTGTTGAGAGCTCCTTGATGTTTCCAGCCATCAAAAAATTTAACCTATTCTGACAACTACTGAGATACCACAGCTAAAACTCCCTTTCTGAAGGCTCCTTCCACCTCTATTAGACACAGGAGACTGTAATTCACCCATACTCTGACCAGTAAGGCCCACAAATGTATTGTCATACCAAAACCCTCAAAAAGCCCCTTCTCATATCCTGAACATTACAAACTTCTCACATCTTGAAAAGTGTAATTGTTTCCAAATACCTGATGGGGAAAAAAAGGAAAGAAAAATACATGTGACTGTTTTCTTCCTATCCTGAAATTCAGGCCACGTTACTGACTCCACTTTGAGCTCTGTGGTTCAACACTCTTCTCTCAGCTGAAAGTAAAACTTCAGAGATACCAAGATGCTTAAAAAGTCTTGCTCATCAATTTAAGACAGGCACTGGATAAACTCAAGCATACCTGCATGTCATTCCACTGTATTGATTTTCAAATGGCCATCTACTCTTAATGTTTTCATTATGAACCCAAAGACAACACTGGTCATTTTGGGGGGTAGTCCAGGTTTGCCTCTAAGACAGAAAAACTGAAGAAAAGTCCACACAGGTTGTGGGATAACACACAGGGCACATACAGCTCATTCTGGCTTCTCAGTCAAGCCCACATTGGCAGATGAAGAATTCTCAGTTCAGAAATAGGAATATCTAATAATATATTTGGCCTCTTACACATCCGTGCTTAGACAGATACAAGTTTATCAGCTGGTTTTGCCTTTACAGTGCTTGCAACACTTCTGATACCAGTAATCGAATGTAAAAGCCTACCCCTCAGTTTGGAAGGGCAAACACTTTGAGAAACTGTAAAAATTCTCAATTTGGCCCTTGTATTTTCCATTCTTTTACATCTCTGATACAAACATTTTTAAATGAACAGAATCTTGTCAGTTTGAGTCTGATAACTGCACGTATTAGACGTGTCAAGAAAAGAAATAAACCAGGACCCCCTTTTATGCCTTTTCTCAGCCATATTGCTAAAGTAAAAAATCATGCTCCACATCTTTCTCTTTTTTAAGCTCTACTTGGTTCACAGCACACTGCAGCAGAAGAGCATCATCTACCTATTTGGCAAGCGCCCCAGTACCATGTATTTGCTTCTCTTGACTCCTTTTATCCTTAGGTGTAGTAAGAGCGTCTTTGTTATAAGAAGAAAAAAAAAGTTTAAAAGTTCTGGGGTTTAATAGTTGTTAAATAAAACTCTACACATTTAGGAGAACATGGAGTAAACATGCCTTTTGCCTAGAAGCTCTCTTGAGAGGACACTGTTCACTAGGGGGATAAACAGAACAGAAAACCTGAAGAAGAAATTTATTCCTGTGCTATGCCGGTTACCTCTCCACCAGAGTTAAACTGTGCTCTCAACACACCTTCACACAGACACAACACACCTCCTCTTTGCAAATCAGCAGCGTGAGGAATCTACCAGGGCACTTGTGCATCATCATTACTTCTTAGCATGCACTGCTAGTGATCCTTTTCAGTTTTTCATTTGAGTTTTTTTTGCTTGTTTGCTTTGGGTTTCTGTTGTTGTTTTAGTTTGGTTTTTTTTACTTCAAGTTCTAGACTTAAGCATTCCCATCTGTCTAAAGATAAATATACACACATGTTGGATATATCCATTGAGCCTGACTTCTCACCAGTTATCCTGAAAGCCCTGCAAGACAGTCACATTACAAGCAATACTAAAAATGCTGACATTAGCTTGAATGCGGTAATGCGATGAGACAGATGAAGTGTTCAATCCAGTTGCAAGCAAACTATTTTGGTTAGGTTAATTTCCAGTTAAAGCAGTTCCTCACCCTGCTTCAATACTCATTACATAAATGCCAGGGTTTGTGTAAGAAACACAAGAGAGGGAAGGGCATCCAGAGTCCCCCACTGAAGTAGCAGCAACGACTCATGCCACATCAAGCAGCACACAACCACACACGATTCCTCATTTTCCTCCTATCCATTCATTCACAAATTAATACTAAAGCTTCTAGGACATCCAGTTCTTCTAACATTTTTAACAAGTTCTTACTTTCAAGTAAGAATGGTAACTCAATACCAAAGAAGTATTTCTTTTTTCTTTGAGGATGATGCCCAGCATTTTCTAAAAATGTAGCAGAACTACAACACCCAAAATGCTAGGGTTTTTCCAAACTGTAAGGAAAAGCTTAAAAACGGGCATTGGGTCATTTGAGAACTACAATTAAACCCTTATATGCCAACTTTATGTTTAATATGGTGAGACCTGGTGAGACCACATCTGGAATATTGTGTCCAGTTCTGGGCCCCTCAGTTCAAGAAGGACAGGAACTGCTGGAGAGAGTCCAGCGTAGGGCTACAAAGATGATCAAGGGAGTGGAGCATCTCCCTTCTGAGGAGCGGCTGAGGGAGCTGGGGCTCTTCAGTTTGCAGAAGAGGAGACTGAGGGGAGACCTCATTCATGTTTATAAATATTTAAAGGGTGAGTGTCACGAGGATGGAGCCAGGCTCTTCTCGGTGATAAACAATGATAGGACAAGGGGTAATGGGCACAAGCTGGAACACAGGAGGTTCCACTTCAATTGGAGAAGAAACTTCTTCTCAGTGAGGGTGCCAGAGCACTGGCCCAGGCTGCCCAGAGAGGCTGTGGAGTCTCCTTCTCTGCAGACATTCAAAACCCGCCTGGACGCCTTCCTGTGCAACCTCATCTGGGTGTTCCTGCTCCGGCAGGGGGATTGGACTGGATGAGCTTTTGAGGTCCCTTCCAATCCCTAACGGTCTGGGATTCTGTAATATAAGGACCTGATATTTCTTAACAAGTGTCATAGAAAACCTGCTAATTAAAAATAACATTAACATAGCATACAAAAATGTACCCTAGAAGATTTTCCCCAGCTGAATGATTTTCTTTAGAAATATTTTCATGGACTCAAATATTATTACCTGGATATCACATTGGATGCATCCAAAACGGTTCTGTGTAATTTTATCCATAGACTCATAAACTCAACTATAAATCTCTGCTGATAAAACGTTACCGTTTCATTGTCTATTTGGGCTGGGGAAAGAATGTGGAATGTAAAGGTTTAAAGGTTTCTCAAGGAAGATCCTTACCTGTGGTGGAGTATAAGGCATTATATCCAGTTCACTAGCTAGCGGGGTCTGAAGCTGAGGCATAGACTGTGTTTCAGTCATATCACCTTCCTCTTCTCCAATCTCTTCCATGTCCTCATCACCTCCTTCCAACTCGGCAAATTTTGCTTCTAGCTGCTGGATCTTCTTTTCCAGTAGTGGAGATGGTTCCTTCTGAGGAACTATGGGTTTTCTGAAAGGTGGAGGAGGAAGACAAAAAGCACATGAGAATAGACTCATACTTTGCACAAGACAGTCTATATTTTTTAAGAGAAAATCAACTTTTCTTCCTTTATCATTGAACAACATGGAAACAATGGTGACTTGGGATGTCCTCGTGCTTCCTTTCAGAACTCTGAGCAGAGATGATTCAGTGTCTATGGCCAGTGTTACAATTCAGTCACTTGTTTGAAGGATTTTTTAATTTTCTTTTTTAATTTTTATGAGTTAGAAGGGGTTTTCGATGCACCAAATACTTCATTTCTGCCATGGAAGTTAACACGACATCTTATTAAGATTTTACATTTTACTGAAGTTAGAACATAATATTTTTGTTAATGTTTACAAACTAGAAAGCTATGATGAGTCCCCATAATGTGCACTTAATTATTTTAATGACATACAAGAGAATTTAACAATCTGATAAAGTAACAACTTTAAGTCAGGAGAAGAAAAAGAAAACATCCACTGGATTAAGACCATGAAAAGACTGATGTTATCTGAACTTCTGTCCAACAGTGTGATTAGTCAAAATTCACCTTCTCCTACAGCAATGACTTTTATTTATGTACTGGGTCTGGCTGGGATGGAGTTCGTTTTCTGCACAGTAGCCTTTATGGTGCTGTGTTTTGGATGTGTGACCACAACAGTGTTGATAACACATCGATGTTGTAGTTATTGCTGAACAGTGTTGGGCTTTTCTTCTTCCCCACTGTCAGCAAGCAGGGTGGGGTTGGGCAAGAAGCTGGGGTGGAAGACAGCCAGGACAGCTAACCCAAACCGACCAAAGGCGTATTCCATACCATATAACAGCATGCTCAGGAATAAAAGCTGGGGGAAAGGAGGAAGAAGGGAACATCTGGGGTTACGGCATTTGTTTACCCAAGTAACCACTACACGTGCTGAGGCCCCACTTTCCAGGAAACAGCTGAATATCTGCCTGGTGATGGAAAGCAGTTAATTAATTCCTTACTTTGCTTTGTTTGTGTGTGCAACTTTGCTTCATTTATTAAACTTCCTTTTTCCCTTCTAATTCTCTTCCCCATCCTGCTACGGGGATGTGAGTGAGTGACTGGGTGAGGGCTTAGCTGCCAACCAGGGTCCGTCCACCACAATACAGAAGAGTGCTCAGGTGACTCCTCGTTCCCATTGTATTTTTACCTAAAATAGTATATTTCGTCATCTACAACTTTTGCAGAGAGCGAAAACCTCTTCAGCCCTTTGAATTTCTTCATTTGTTTGTCACTTTCATTGTAGCGGCTCTCACAAAGGAAAACATCGTTTTCAGAGATTTCTGTTGGTCTGCAGGAGAGGAAGTCTTTGAATGACAGAACTGCACACTTTCCTGCAGAAATGAAAGAGCTGGGTAAGAAGGCAGCCACACAGCAAGTGTGGAACTCAAGCTCTTGCCAGTTTCATAAGTCTGGAAGATTCCCGGGATTTGGTGCAACTACGGAAAATACACCAATCAACTTCCCTGTTAACTAATGCCACTCACGAGACACCCACACAAACTTAATGCAGCTTTTGGACTTTTTAAAGAACAAGAAAACCTGCAAAACAACAAAACTCCAAAATCACTAGTCAGTTAACTGTATTTAGCACAGCGTTGTAACTACAAAACAAAGCACACAGTCACAATCTAATGCACCAACCCGAACTTCAAACTCCTTCTAGACTGACTATCCAGGTAACATATATTGGAATAATTACATTAACAAGTGAGAATAAAGGAATTTTCTGTTCTTTAGCTGCAGACAGTGTTCACTCTGGTGTCATACATGTAATTCCTTTATTGTAAGAGAGCTTCCTTGTAGTGAAAACTCTCACTACAGGTCCCAAAGACAGGAATGCATATTAGAAATGGACTGAATTCAACCAGAATCAAGCCTACACATCGCTATAAATCACTTCAGATTATATAGGAAAACAAAGAGAGTGACCACTGGATTCAAAGTTGTTAATAATTACCCAAAATGCAAGTCATTGGACAGGTCTCCTCCAAGTTACTCAAAAACACTTCCTTCTTGTAGAACATTTTAGTTGGCTCATGTTCAGTTTCTTCAGGATGTATAAAGATTGGACCAAAGAAATATGCGGCTCCATCTCGCACCCACATCTTTTCAATTCTGGAAAGAAAACCAAACCACTGACATAAATGAAAGGTCATCCCTCCTAAATGAGATAGCTGGACACACAAGAGACCAATGGGATGAGGTTTAATATGGCC